GCAGGAAAGAAGGTGGCCCAAAAGCCCTTTACTCTGGGCTGGGAGCAGTGAGAGGGATGGTGACCAGGAAGCCCCTTCTTCTGGACCAGGAGCAGTGGGACTCAGTACCTTGGTCTGGTGGTCTGGTGTTCTCTGCGCCTTGGTAATGTGGAATCAGGTGGCTGCCTGTCTGCAATGGGGTGATTTGGTGTCTTCTGCATGACTCAGGACCTCGGTAGGGCATGCACAGACCTGCCTGTCTGCAGCGGGCTGATTCAGAGTGCTCCGTGGGACCGAATCTGATTTCTTTTCACAAAATGATGTTGCATGCTGTTGTGTGATATATGCATCATATGCAATAATTCTGCAGTCACTAACTCCGTGTAATTTAAATTTGAAGTAGAGGACCTTTAAAGCTACTTCATAACACAGCCACCCTTCACCTGGCTCTTTGTTCAGCAAGACTTACCTGAGATCTGTGTATTGTGACGGAGACATACCTCCCTTGAGCAAGCCATTTTGCTGTGCTGGATATCTTCATTCCAGTTCCTGCCAAATTAATGCTGAACTGTCCCTGGATTGTAAACACAAAGCAAAAAGCGATGTATTCCTAAAATATTTAAGAGTACTCTTGGCTGGAAGCATCAAATAACTCAAATTACTTTGCAAGGGTCTTTTATAAAATAAAAGAAAGAACACTCATACAACCTTACTGTAAAGAAGAAAAATCAGTTCAGGATTTTAAAAACTGGTTATGAATAAATCTTCTCAATTACAAGTGAGAATCGAATTAATACCACATGTTATTTCTGCTGGAGGAATTCTGTCTAACCCCAGAACTCTGCAACTTGACAGCTAGAGATAATGGTTCTGTAGCGATTGCCAAGTCCTGACAGAGAGGGATTCAGAGAGACAAACACTGCCAGACTAACCTTTCTCCTGTTTCAACTTTTTACTCTGATCACAAACTTTTGTGATATTACACTTACCTAACATATATTCTGAATCTTCTATTCTTGTTCTATTCCCTTTTGTGGTAAAATTATTACTTCTTTCACTAGTAAATATGTCATTTTCATCCTATTATACCCTTTTTAAACATCCAGAAGTGGAGCTGTGATGCCTCATGATTTATACACATTGTGTGACGTGGGCACCTTGGCAGTTTTATGAACAAATTCTTTTCACATACAAGACTAGTTTTATGTCGACATATGTAATACTACCTCTGTTAATAATTGAATTTTATGTATCTGTTGATTGAGAAAATGAATACCATTACAGTACAGACTTATATACCAAAAAGTAGAATTACTTTCTGCTAATTTAGCCTACTGACAATGTTCATAAAGCATGAAAGTTTAGAGCAATGTAAAGGCATTCTTAGACACATTGTAATATTCCTATGGCCCAAGACTCTTACAAACCTTGAGCAAGACTCTGACAAAACATTGAGATTTATATTATGTGACTGACAATATTATCCTGTCATGAAGGTTAAGGCTAAATAAACATTAAATATATTTGTGATATGAATTATTATTGTTTAAAATAATCAAATATCAATTTAGCTTATTAACTTTAATTTCTTATATCTAAAACAAATTATGTATTATCTAAAAACAAAAATTCAAATACATTTATAAAACAATGACAATACAGAATTCTTCATAGCAAAAATGATTTTATATAACTTCCAAATACTTGCAACATCATTTAGTTCTGAAATTTAGAATATGACCTGTATGTTTGCTTCACTGCTCTATTCCCAGAATAGGGCCTAATACTCAAGAAGTGTCTCTGAATGAATAAATTAAGTGCAGCACTATGCATATTAAATAGAACCACTATAAAAGTAAGTGCATGAACACACAATAAGACCCTTTATACCCCATAATGGTGAATGGCACTACCACTAAACACACTAGCATTTTATATTGGTAAGTGGTTGAATGAGAGAACTAATTCCTTGCAAATTTTACAACTATTTGATAATTAATCTGATACAGTTCTTGTACTGCATACCTTCATATCATATTCCATCAGAGGTAAGTTTCTCACCAAATAAACTTCCTAAAAAATGGAGATAGATTCTACGATACTCATTCTCTGTAAGCAGATACTCACTGAGTATCTAGGTTGTGCCATTTTGTTTTTACCACCTAATAGTACTGTCATGCCATTCATCCATTCATTCTCCACCTCCACCCTAAATGTAACTTGGAAGCATCTACACATGTTCTCAGGAGACACTGAGGAGAGAATCCAACTAACTTCCCAGAGGCTCTGGTGTCATTAACACAATCAGCAGGGTCCAGAAATACCTATGACTCCATTCCCCTGCACTACTTTTTATAAGCTTTACTTCTGTCCTTAGTCCTCATTTAAAAAGCTACATAATAAAATCTCCAAAACTGATGAAGTAATTAGTCTGAAATTTGGAAAGATTTTGACAGGGGTGAAAAATACATTAACATTTATTTGTTCAAAATTTAATTGAGTGGCAAAGTATCAAATCCTATGGAAGTTCAAAAGTCAGGTTTCATTTTGAATCTGGTGTGTGAAATAGCCTGTGTACATAAATACATGTAATGCAAGGAAGAGAAATGTGAGTGCTATATGGAAGGGACTAGTACATTCCTATCCAACATCCAAAGTAATAAATGAGTGAATACATGTATTAATTAATTAGTTTACTTACCATACTTCATTGAAAATTAAAATGTAAACCACCATAAAAGCCAGTCTTTAACTTGAAGAAATTAGTTCACTATGGGAGCTGACAATAAATATCTATAATATTAAAAAGACTTTATTGTGTATATTAAGATATAAAATGGTGCTAGATGGTACAGATATATAATAAAAAGTTTTTGAAGTGATATACAAAAATTTATTGCCAAGACCAATTCAAGGAGCTTTTTCTTTGTTTTCTTCAGGAAGTTTTGTAGCTTCTGGTCTTACTTTAAGGTTACTTGTATCCATTTTGAATTGATTGTTGATTATGGTATAAGATAAAGGTCTGATTTCATTCATTTTTATGTGAAAATCCAGATTTTAACATCATTTATCGAAGAAAGTGTTCCTTTTCCATTGTGTTTTCTTGGTGTTCTTGTGAAAAATTAGTTAAAGTAGCCCAGCAACAAGGATCAGAGCCACCCCCAGTACAAAGAAAGTGAACCTTCTGGGCCACCATACCACCATCCCCAGTGCCCAGGTGAGCCACACCTGTGCCAGCAGCACACCTAACCCAACCCCCTGCTGAAATGAGAAGACATGTAAACAAGTCTCAAAACCAGACTTCCAGATCACCCAAAGCAACCCTAAAGGAAAATGAGATGGAACAATCTGATACTCGACCACCTGGACTCCCTGAACTGGCAACAAAAGAGGACTGGGAAAAAATGAAATCAGAAATAATTTCTCAGATAACAGCAGAGATTGTGCTCATGGTGTAAGACATGATTAATAAATCTAGAGAGGACACAGATAAAAAAATAGAAGAGTGGAGGAACAGGATGGAATCCCAACGTAGGAAACAAATGGAATCCATAAAACAGATCCAAAAAGATTTCCAGGATATTAAAAATGCCACTGAAGAAGAAAGAGCCAATATGAGGATAGAATTTCAGATATAGAAGATAAGATTGCAATTAGTGACCAGGAAAAGAAAAATTTCTTTAAAATAGTAAGGGACCACAACACATCAATCCAGCAGTTGCTAGACAATGCAAAGAAGAATAACAGAACACTGATCTGAGTCAATGAAGAAACAGGAGAGACTGCAAATGATATAAAAAAAACCTGTTCACAGAAGTGATGGCAGAAAACCTTCCAAGAAGGGTTAAAGAACTTGACATACAGAGAAGTGAGGCATATAGGACTCCAAATAGCCTTGATCAAAAAAATCTACACAAAGGTATATAATAGTTAAGATTCCAGAAACTCAACAGAAGAACAAAATACTGCAAGCAGTTACAGAAAAGAAACAAATCACATATAAAGGAAAGCCCATGAGAATCACAACAGACCTCAGTTCAAACTCTCAAGGCAAGAAGAGCTTAAAGTGATGTATTCCAAGCCCTAAAGGAAAACACCCTCCAACCCAGATTGATGTACCCTGCAAAACTATCTTTCAAAATTGATGGAGAAATAAGATACTTTCATGACAAAGAGCACCATAGGAACTTCATGAATAGCAAACAAGCACTCCAAAAACTTTTGGACAAAATCCTAGGAAAAGGCAATGAGGATCACAACCCCAAGAAACACAGCAGAATGAATCCATCAGGCACGAAAAGAATTTAAATGTAAAGGGGGAGAACCCAACAACAAAAAAAAGTCATGACAAGGATAAGTCAATACGTATCAGTTATAACCATCAA